TGAGTATTTTGAACTTGCTAACCTTTTTGTCCTTCTTTCCAAGACAAAAGAGTTACATTCATGTAGCATGTATGTGCTTGGACTCTGAAAGTTTTACAGTTAATGTGGAAAGCAAAAGGAATTAAAGACAGATGAAATGGATAATAGGATTGATAATATGTGGAGAGTGATTTAAGACTGCTCTATTTCATGTATATTTTTCCACATATGATTCTGTAGTTTGAATGAACTGCTCACTAAACAAGCCAATGTTTAAATCTTGGCTGGAAGAGACAGAGGGAAGTAAACAGTACCATTTACCAGATTTACTAGATGTTAGAAGAGGTCATTACCATGAAACTGTGAGGCCATTTCGATGCAGGCAGAATACAGAGTGCTACTGGGAAAAGCCTTTGAAAGAAAAGGTAGGATAATGTGTTGGCAAGGCAAGAACTATGTTGGTTTAGGGGTAAAAATTCAGAAAATGAATGGATAGATTAACAGAGAGGTTTCTTGGCAACTGATTCAAGATAATGAACTAAGCCTTACAGGAAGCATAATTTCACTTTGATCTGTAAGTAAAAGTTAATTTACTATAAATTAACTCACAATCTCATAAGATTTGACATCAAAATAATATTTAAAAAAAAAAAAAAGTACAACTTCCTCTCAGTAAGTATGTGGAATGGTTAAAAAAAAAAAAAGCACTAACAATAAGTAAGTTCTCCAGAAGTTTTTTGTTGTTTTTTCTCTGTAAAAAACATTAGGGCAATAGGTAAGATAGATACATGTAGATGGGTGGTTCTCATTGAGCAAAATATTCTTCTTGGAACATTTATGAATAGGGAAAGYATCTTTAAATCAACAACAAAGGTTATGTATAGGTGGCACCGATGCATGTGAGAAATTATTGCATGTGAGCAATGGCTTGTATATAACMGTGTGTCTAACTAGACACATTGCAGGCAGAACTGTTGCAAGATAACAGACCATACTGCAGCAGAAAGACCAATAGATTGATACAGTAAATTGAACTTTGGAGGCACTCAGAACCTGATGAATGAGATCCTTTGGTGGGTAATATAAATCACACAATAACTTGTTGACCTAAAAATAAGATTTAGTAATGATAGAGAGCATTAGTAGCTCTCTTATTATGTATTTTGTGTTTGTGGTTGAGTGAAGACCAGCATATATTCAGTGTTGCAGTAGGTGCACAAGTGCCATTGTCTTTAGAGGTTACCTTTAACTTTCCTTAGAATCTTTGAAAGCCTTGTCTTTAGGAAAGTACAAGATATATTCCACACCACAATGGTGTGGAATTAGCTGCCTTCCTAATTTGTAGTTATCTTAACCTTCATGTCATATCTTAATTTTATACAGCCGATGCAATTAAAATTTATAGACATTTTCTTAATTTTTGGAAAACCAGAACATCATTCCGGGCCTTTCTGAGGCTCTTATTACATATTAGTTTGATATAAGTATCCATGTTATGCTCAAAAAAAAAAAAAAAAAGAAAAAGAAAAAAGAACCATACTCCACCAAGACTTCCACCAAAAAAAATAAAATAAAATAAAGCCCCAAAAGAAAGGGAAAAAAGCTTTGAACCATTAATAATTAATTAATATTAACCATTAATATTGTATCATCTTTGTTTTCAACTACTTACTGTTTTTAATCCAGTCTAAAACTTGAGTCCACTCTTTTGTATGTCAATTTTTAAGGCTCTTTCTCCTCTCTTTTGGCTTTGTTCCAATCCTGGTAAAGTTTAGACATAGAGTTAAATTTCAGCATAAATAAAAGGGACGATTATTCAGACATATTGACAGTAATTCAAAGAATCAACCATGTATAACGGATTCTCTATATTAATAGCCACAGGGAAGATATTGCAGATGCTGTTATGGGCCATTTGTACTTCTTATGCCTTTCTTGCATAAAAAAATTTCCTTCGTTCCCAGTGAAGGCATTTTAGGATAACAACATGTAGTCCTCAAATTTCAGTGTATGAAAATAACAACAGCACCTGTCTCATTCAATGAAGTCTTTACTGACTGTTTACATATGTTGCAAAACCTTTACATAAAACCAGGATAAAAGGTAGAAAATTTAAGATTATCACAGAATCACACAATGGTTAAGGTTGGAAAGGACCCTATAGAGATCATCTAGTCCAACCCTCCTGCTCCAGCAGGGACCCCTATAGCACAGGGCACAGGGTGGCATCCGGGTGGGTTTGGAAGATTTTCAGAGAAGGAGACCCCATAATCTCTCTGGGCAGCCTGTTCCAGGGCTCTGTCACCATCATGTGGATGTCCTGTGTTTTAATTTGTACTTATTACCTCTTGTCCTGTCACTGGTCGTAACCAAGATGAGTTTAGCTTCATCCTCTTTATATTCTCCCCTCAGATATTGGTACATGTAATAAGATGCCCTTTCAGGCTTCTCCAAGCCAAACAAGTCTAGCCTACTTACGCAGCACTTTATGCCTAGAGAATATGCTAACCATTACAAAATTGCTATTATATTTTTCTAAACCTTCACAAAAATGTAGAGTCCCTAAAATTTGTAAAGACCTTTGACACCATTGAAGAACAAATATAGATATAGCTTCTCCTAATCTGAAGAGAAGATAAATGTTTCCATAAATTTTCSATGATCAAGATGCTAATGTTTAAGTACACATCCATCTGTATAAAACACAGTGTGATAAATTTCTTGGCACTCAACTTTTTAAGTAATGCTAGCTGCATATTCTGTTATTTTGTAATAAACTTAAGTGTTTCATRAGGATGTATTTTACTGCAGTGTTCCTGCAGAAGTGATTCTTTCAAATGCYGTCAATCTGCCTGGTTACGTAGGTATGCAGATGAAATACATGTATTTTCCTGATGAGAATATTACTATTCATATAGTCATGAAACTTCCACAAATTAAAGTGACAGCTAAGATTTTTAACAGCTCCTTAGCAATAAAACCAGGCAGTTGCCATTTATTATGCTTTTTTTTCCCTACCTAACAATATAACACACACTATCTGTAAATAATCCTCAAAGGAGAGAGGAGAAAAGTTCCTAATCTTATCCTTCTAATGTCTTAGGCTTTGTATCAGAAGCATTAGCCATCTTGAATAATCCCATTTTCAATAGCTAATAAACACTATTGTGCTGTATGAGTTGAAAACTTTCTTCCCTTCCCTTCCCTTTCCCTTCCCTTATGGAAGTGCCACCATGTGCTCTTCTTTTACATTTACAGCTRCAGAATATTCTTTTCTATAATTGTGATCTAAGTTAGCTGCAAAGGCTTGGGGAACACCGGAGTAGAAATATAGAAATTGCATTATGGCTTGACTGGACTGAGCATCTTGCCTCCAGATATATCACAATGATTGTACTTGAAAAAGCAAAATACCACCACTATTTTCACTACTTCTCTTATATCCGCAGGGTTATTGAGCTATAGATCATGCCCATGTTCTCTTTGTTCCCAGTGGCAACCTTGATCTGCTCTGTGTCATTGTTTCCTCATATTTGAGTATGGTTTTATGCATTCTTATGAAACAACTTGTCAAAAATCTCTAAAGATATTGCACAACAAAYTTCTAAAACTCTACTAACATTATTCAAACTTTTACATTTATAGATGAAGACAAAAGAAGGAAAAAGAAAAACCAAATGTGTTTTTTATCTATTCAGCATTGCCACAGTCCAAATGGACTGTAATTAGGCAATTTTGAAATCATTTTCTGTTTTTATATCTAGCTCATTCTCCAACTTTCCCCAGTTCTGTCTGTCTCTGCTGCATGGCTTTCTCTGTCATCCTTTCTGGTATGTACATGGTTGATTATCTACCTATCTATCTAGAAGGTATTAAAGGTATAAACAAGACATGGTTCAAAATAAATAATTGATATTAAAAAAGCTTAGCATGCTAGGATTGCATATCATACACAGTAATGAGGAAATTTACAGTGAGTTATAGGAAAATTTGAAATTTTGCCAGGTTTAACTCTTTGACATTCAAAATGAAAAACAATGGGTTGGAACTCAGTTGGAGTTAATCATTCATTAGACTTTTAAAAGAAAAAAAAAAAACCTTAAAACGATCAAAATGCATATGGCAATTTGTTAAATCTGTTGATTCCCATCATCAAAAAGAAATACAAGCATTGTAAACATTGGAGTTGAAAATGTAGACTATAATTGCTAGACTAACCATGTACTCAGGGTGACTTTCATTTATGCTATGCCCTTTCTCTGAGTAGAAAGAAACAATATTAGATCAATAATATCTATGGACTTGAGCTCACTAAATCTGATGAAATAACATTTATTGACTGCAGTAGGCTTTGGATATAATAATGATTTGTACATGCAAACTCTGACACCATCTCTTGAAATCCTAAAGTAATTCAGAAATTCTTAGTGGGGRAAAAAAAAAAAAAAAGCCATTCATTCTCCAAAAGACTCTTCTACATTCCATTCTATTTATTCTATTTTCCATTTCTTTTCATAATTTGGGGGCATTGTAATTACTGTTGACTGGAATACTGATCTCAATAAAGTAGAGCCAAGACTATCTTTTAAATTATTGTGATATTATTCCAGTTATATATTACAAGCATCACTACATTGTAAGAAGAAAGAAGAGGGAGCAGAAGAAAGACCTTTAATAGTACCTTTCTAACACCAGTGAATGAACCCAAAATACTTCTCTTTGTCTCCTAAATGAGTTTCTTTGTGCTCATTTGAAATGATTTTCTTTGTGCATACAAATATGCATAGTGTGCTTTAAGTAAAGTCAGAGTTATTAAAAACTGAAATGCTCTTCTTTAATCTCCATTAATAACTGTGTAGGTTCAGTGCCCCTACAATCTTCGTAAGAGGATATTAGAGCGCTTAAATGTTAAGATGGAAGTCTCAATCACGAGTTTCTCACACTATACCAAGCACCCTCACAAATTACTTCAAACGCACAGATTTATTAATTCTAAAACTCTCACTTCATCCCTGTTGCAGCAAGCATCATCGGCAGATTTAATGATCAGGAACATCCTGCTGGTGCACGCGGGGCGATACGGCTGCCGGGTACAGACTGCAGCAGACACGGTGTCTGATGAGGCAGAGCTGCTTGTTCGGGGTGAGTACTGCTAACAGYGAAGGCTGAAGACATGATCACCATGATTTATTGCACTGGGGAATTTAAATATATGGGCTGTAGGGATATTYGTTCTGTTTGTTATATTTCAGGTTTTGTAATACTGAAATCATCTGTGATTAATCTACTCATCTTCRAAAAGATTTCCTTGGTTTGCTGATCTACACACATGGATCTTTTTACCAAATGTTAATTGGTAAAAAGAGATATACTCTTAAGACATGAAATAGCACAAAAAGTATATCAGATTGCTTAAAATATAAGAAATTACCATTCACAAGTTTGTACAAGAAATGTATAATGGACTCTGTGTGTCTGTATAGCTTATCTTACAGTCAAGTCATTCTCTCATGTTTAACAGTTCGGGAATATTCATCATTCASTTCCTAACAGGAAGGATCACTTACAAGTCTGTAAAATGAAAGACAACAAAACAGAAATCCCCTAATATGAAAAGATTTTTGTCTTGTTACATAGAATGAGAGTAAACAAATTTCAGCTGAATCTCTAGACCCAGTCCTGAAATCTCTTAAGTTGCTTTACCTTTGAAGTTCTTGATAATGCACAGGGACATACAGTCATTGCTTTCTGTATTTCAGATCATATTGAGCACACCTTACAATATCTCAGATCATATTGAGGACAGCTTACAATAAAGCAATACTTTAACATCATGCCTGGTCTTCTTCATTAGGGAATTCCTGTATTCTGTTCTACCATATACACCATGTGGGGTGTATGGGGATGTGTGTGGCGCACAAGCAGGGAGCTGAGGACTTGCAGCTTGCTCCCTAGCAGTGAAAGCAGGGAAAGCTGCCAGATTAAAATACGTGCATCTCTTGTAGACAGTAGCTCTGGTTAGCCTCATTGGGTAGCACACAATTTTTAAAAGATGAATAAATCAAGGTAGATATTTCATTAGTATTTGAAAAACACTTGGTTAAAAAAAAATTAGAGATTATAATATTTCAAAAATACTTATTTTACTTTATTCTATCACTTCTCTAGACTTAYTGCTTTCATATCCATCATTTTTATGATCAATATATGCTTTAGATAATAAAGAATGTTTCTGGCTGAATGCAGGGCTATTCACATTTTAATGTGAGTAGCTGTAAAATATTTCCATAATTTCACTGGGAGGACCATTGGATTTATATGAGCTGTGGCAATACTGAGATGCTATCCAGTTGCCTCAAAGTAGGCATAAAATGTCATTTTAGTAGTCTTAGGGAACCTGAGCCATCCTTGTGGGGCATGCATGTCTTCTGTGCTTGTCTCTCAGACAAGAGCTGGAGGCAAGGCAATTTCACCTTTAATGCAGTGGCATTACTAATGCCACTTACTAAGTGACTAAGTGAACTTACTAAGTGACAAAGATCTCTTAGATTACTACTACAAAGATCTCTTAGATTACTACTAGATTACTGGCTACTATTTTTTTTTTTCAATAATATAGGTTACATTTTTGTATAAATTACTTTTTATATTTCTTATAGATTTTTTTTTTCTGGGTAAGAAGTTTGAAATTTTCATTCCAGCATTTCTCATTCTTTTTTTCTTTTTTTCATATAACTCATCTCATATAGTGCACATACTGATTTATAAGGTAACACTCTAGTGATTTTAAATTACAAAATTTTTCAAATCTGCTTAGGCTTAATTTTTGGAGATATCAGATTACTTAGGAGAAGAGTCCATAAACAGCAAGTTACGTACAAAAATCATTTCCACCATGCAGTCAAGTAAGTGAGGTCCAAAATTATATTGTTCCTCACAGCAAGTGCAGTTTCTAGATAGAATAATTTCATTTAAAATATATTTTAAAGCATCTTCTCTGTGATTTAAATATATTATCCCAGTTCAAAGCAAGATATCCAAAGCATTGCTCTGAGCTCCAGGAAGTACCAAATATTGGAATATATTGGAACATGTGCTTATTCTGTGACAATATGTATGTGACTATATTCTGTGTCATTTTCAGTCTACAAAAAGTGCCAATCTTAAATGTTGGTGTGGCACAGCAGTATATGACTTACCAGCATTTCAATCACTAGTTATATTGTAAGGTACCTCTGATATTTCTTAGCATGTCATTATAATTTAAATTTTAAAGATTGTGCTGCTTGCAACATTTCTACAGCAAATAAATTGGACACATGGAATAAATTAAAGGAAAATCATCCAATTTTCCTTTTAGATATTCATGAACATCAGAGTTACTGCTGTAATCAACCTGACTAAATTCATACTGAATCATACATTCAGCTGATGCATTATGTTTAAGAGAAAGGACATTTTTCTAGAACTATTATAAGGGACTTGGGAGACAACTATACCTTGCTACAGCCTCTGTAAATGGAAGAAGAATGAAAATGATTTGTAAAAGTTTATTGCTTATAACTGGTGAAAGAATCATAGAATCAGAATCATAGAATCCTTAAGGTTGGAAGGGACCTTTAGAGATCATCTAGTCCAGCTCCCCAGCACACACAGGGTCACCTAGAGCAYGTGGCACAGGGCTGYGTCCAARYGGGTTTTGAAGATCTCCAAAGARGGAGACTCCACAACCTCCCTGGGAAGCCYGTTCCAGGGCTCTGGCACCCTCACTGCAAAGAAATGTTTTCTTAAGTTCCTGTGGAACTTTTGGYGCCTCAGCTTGTGGCCGTTTCCTCTAGTCCTATCGCTGGCCACCACTGAAAAGAGGCCGGCCCCCTTCTYCTCACTGCCTCCGTGAGGTATTTATACACACTGATCAGGTCCGCCCTCAGCCTTCTCTTCTCCAGGCTGAACAGGCCCAGCTCCCTCAGCCTTTGCTCACAGGGCAGATGTTCCAGGCCCYTGATCATCCTKGTAGCCYTGCGCTGGACTGTCTCCAGCAGCTCCATATCCCTCTTGTACWGGGGAGCCCAGAACTGGACACAGTCTCCAGATGTGGCCTCACCAGGGCTGCCTAGAAGGGGACAATCACCTCCCTTGACCTGCTGGGGATGCTCTTCTTAATGCACCCTAGAAACCCATTGGCCCTCTTAGCCATGAGGCCACACTTGGTCACACATGGTCAACTTGACATTCACCATCCACCATGATGCCCARGTCCCTCTCTACAGAGCTGCTCTCCAAAAGGTCAGCCCCCAGCTTATACTGGTGTCTGGGATTATTCCTCCCCAGGTGTCAATATCAGCTGTTCCATCACTTTTCYAGGGATGGAGGTAAGGCTGACTGGCCTGTAGTTGCCTTTCTTGCCATTTTTGAAGACTAGTGTAACATTGGCTTTCGTCCAGTTCTCCGGTACTCCCAAGTTCTCCAGGACCTTTTGAAGATAATGGAGAATAGTTTATCAATAACATCCACCAGCTCACAAAGCACTCAAATCTTCAAGACACATACACTGGCCACTGCATTTTCAAGTAACTGTAGTGCCTCATTATCTCTTATTGTGGAAAAGGCATAGACCAGTCAAGAGACAAACAAATGGGAGTCTGACTTTGTAGCATAGGGGTTAGGGTCAGCTCCATCAGCCACAATGTTCATTTCTTTCATTTAGTTGATCACAACACAAAAAGTGGATGTAATCCTAATGTAGAGATATCATTATCAGCACTTGTAGCCAATACATTGAAGCATATATTCAAAAAGCTAAATTTCAAGTATGTATTTATTTCACTGAATTTGTCCCTTGGCAGGGGATTGAGGCAGACAATAGTAAAGTCTAAAAATACCACTGCAAAGTTTTCTGRAAGACTTATGAAGCAGGAGGAGAAGGCACATAGAGCATACTGACTGTTGTGGTTTGATGAGGGAAGGGGGGCAAAATTCACTTGCATTCCAGAACATCCTCAAAGGTCCAGAGGGACCAGGAGCAGCTGGACTCATCTCTTACTAGGGATAACGAATACTGTGCCAGCTATACGCCCGACTCTGGTAGTGTCGGATTCACCCACAGTCTGTTGACTGTAATTCTGATCACCTTCCTAGGAGCGAATCGAGTTCCCCAATAGCGTGACTGACTCTTAGCTCAACTCTGGCAGTATCGAATTCACCCACAATCTGCTGGCTGTTGGTCCAATCGCCTTCCTAGGAGYGAATCGAGTTCCCCAACAGTGTGATCAACTATTAGCTCARTTCTGGCAGTATCAGATTCATCCACAGTCTGCTGACCGTCAGTCCGATCGCCTTCAAGACAAGTGGTYGAGCTCATGAATAGGGCAATTTATTCAAATGCAACATTTAGAACACAGGTTTCGAATGCAAGTATAGGAAATTCTCTACAGTGTGGGGTTCTTAGCTAGTGCCTATTGTACAAAGGGACAATCATCACTCATCTAGAAGATGGGAGAGGGCYCTCAATCTTTAGGAGTGCCTCAGGTGGTGTCCTGACCCGAGGTGGGGGGGATGGGTTCAGCCTGTYGGCTGATCCAGAAGTTACGATGGAGTCCTCCCTCTCTTCTCTTCCTTCTTTCCTTCCTAGTTCTTTCCTTTCTTCCCTCCTAATTCTTCCTAGTTCTTTCTTCCCACTTCTTTCTTCCTAATTCTTTMCCCCACTTAGTTTTTATACATTTTCTTTTACATCTACGTGGAACTTGAGTAATTTTAGTCATATTTACTTTTGTTATTAATCTAGAGAGCACRCTTAGTGAGGAACGGTATTACAATGGGATCAGAAGGAGAAGAAGCCTGAGCAAAGTTTAGCAGATGAAATTGATCTGCTACCATCGTTGGCCTATCAATCAGCTATGTGGCACCACCTGGCTGCCACCTCTGCAGCGAGTACAATAGTTTGACTGTGGTGTCTTCACTCCACTCTACTCCACTCTACCCTCCATTCACTTTTATTAGTATAGGCTGGGAGGGCAGATTGTGTTGCCTAGGGAGAAGTGGATTCCACAGATACCAACCATCCTGGAATTGGTAACTGTCTCTCATTTCAAGTAAGTCTCTGCAATGCCAGAACTTCTGTCAGGCTCTGTCTTTCTCCAAGT